GGGACAAGGTCTGGCTTGACGCTCGGAACCTTAAGCTGAAACAGCCGAGCAAGAAGCTCAGTCCCAGGCGCCTCGGACCATATGCCGTGCGGCGAAAGCTCGGAGACCTGGATTACGAATTAGTCCTGCCGAAGTCGGTGCCGGTGCACCCGGTGTTCCATGTCTCCTTGCTTAGCAAGTACACGCGTAGCGACATCCCGGGCCGGGAACCGGAGGAGCCGCCTGCGATCGAGGTCGAGGGTGACGAGGAGTACGAGGTTGAGAGGATCAAAGATTCAAGGATCTTCCGGCGTCAGCTGCAGTACCTCGTCAAGTGGAAGGGTTATGATGACTCGCATACGTCATGGGAACCGGCGCGCAACATTGCCAATGCGCCGGCCCTCATAGCCGACTTCCACCGGAAGAATCCGAATGCCCCTCGTCGTCTCAATGCTGCTGTATTTGGTGGTCTCAACTTTCGGCCAATGCCTTCCCCGCTGACTGAAGCACGCTGCCGCTCCGGGTGGGAGATGGGCAAGGGCACCTCGCATGAGGTCATGCGCCGTTGAGGGGGGGGTAATTTCACGACTTGGTATGACGCCTAGCCGTTTTTTAATTTTTTCCTTTTCGTGGGCTCGAACCCGCGACCTCTGTACTACCTGCCTGATATGGACACGACGTTATCTACTGTACGATTAGATTAGATGGGGCGGCAGTGCACGGCACAGCTCGGGCTCCGCTGACACAGCCGCTCTGACTCACCGGCCCCTGGGGCCGCGTCGGCATGCTGCGCACGGACCAGCTGCGCACGGACCAGCTGCGCACGGACCAGCGCGCACAGCCTGCCCTTATCTTCCCCTGTATATAAGCCGGCCTCTGCTGCCCTAGGGACCTCAGTTTCGACCTCTTGTCCCTAGGTCAGTAAGCCCCAGTTGTATCCTTTACTTACCTTCACTAACTAATACATTACTTGTCCCTAGCCTTAGGTTTGAGCTTAGCTCACCATCGCTTCGGTGAGATCTAGTCGAACGCCCCCCGCTTTCAGGTATTCCCCTGTCGCTTGACCTCAAGTTGCGACAATCGTGTACGTCCCTACCGCTCTTCTTTCCCGTCGTTCAAGCGTCTTCGCTTAGAGTGTCATGCTTATCTTTCTCCTTAAACCAAACTTCTAGCTTGATCTCTATCGCGTGCGTACCATCTTGTCACTCTTCTTGCCTTTGCTCACACATATCTATTCAAGGCATTATATCATGGTTTCGGGTCGATCTAGTCTCTTCGTGCATATTGTGTTGCCGCCATTTTCCACTCTTTCTTAAACAGTTTGACGCAGAATACCGCTGTCTCTTTCGATTTCACCTTCCACTCTCGTCGTCGCGTGTATCGATCTTCCTTCCCCTCATCCAGGTGCCCTCGCCTAGGGTGTTGCCATCATCTGTCTCCTTCGACAACACTTCTCTGCTCCTCTACCACGTACGTAACCCTTTATCGCTCTTCAACCTCTGCTCACGTACCTTCATTCTCGGCATTACGATGTACTCTCTTTCTGGGCACAGCCTCATTGGTACGTATCTTTCTGTCGCCCTTCCTCACCCTTTCTCACATTGCATCATCCAGCCCATCTACAATGACGTCTACTAATCTATCTACTTTCGAGGCCGCCATCGTAGACACTTGTGAAAAATACCAGGAAGCGCACTGGGAGGATCCGGACTACCGCCCCTGCGTATCTATCGATGGAACATACTTCGTGAAGTTCAAGGAGACAAGGTTTCTGTGGCCTGAAATTGCAACGCATGTGTACATCTCCGAGTATGCACAGTCTCAGCCAGAAACACCAGGCATGCCACGCATCTCCAAAGTGATACACCACTTTACAGACCAAAACATGATGTATATGGTCATGGAACATATTACTCTCACGGACACCTCTCCAGACCCCACCAAGATAGCTGAGGCTCTCAGATGGCTTTCGGAGGTTCCAGCTCCTCCCGACCATGTGTTCGGTCCCTTAGGGGGCGGTGTCATTCGCCATAGCTTCTTCAAGGACTACGAGGCGCCTCTGGTTTTCTCGAGCATCGAGGCTCTAGAGCGTTACATAGAGAAAGTGCGCCCTTGCTTATATTTCCTCGACCCTCCGCTAATATCTAATCTGGGCCAGGCGGGAACGTATTTGTCGAAGTTGCGCAGGACACCACTGGAACGTGTCAGTCTTAGCGGTGAACGTATAATGTTCACGCAGCCCGACATGCACCCCAGCAACTTCGGCGTCGACGAGCACGGGAACACGGTTCTGATGGATTTCGGGGAGATAGCGATGTTGCCGGAATCCTTCGTAGCGTTTACGCTGGCACAGTATGAGAGCCAAGCCGCTAGCGCTACTGCTAGGTCTATTGGCTTGTCGCGCAGATCTCATCTTACCTCCATGGCTGTAATAGCCTCTGTTTTGTGGATGATAGCTGACCCGAGACTCGGTGCGTCAACTTGTACCTGATGGAGGATATCAGCTAACCTTCGCTATAGGCCTGAACGAGGACGGCTATCCCAAGGCGTCCGTCCGCAAACGCTAGACGAGGTGTATAGGCTATGACCTATGCACACTCGCGATCTCCAAACTCAATCTAATAAGTAACCGCCTCTATTTGCTATAGAACCTGAACGCGAAACTAATCCAGAGACATGAGATCTCGGTTTCAATTTTTCGAGCGAGTGAATTCCACAGGTGTTGCCCTCAGCCTTCGTGATCCGCATCCCGTTTACTTATCACTCCTCCCATGCTCTCTGAACTATTATATATCTCCAAGTGTTGTCCAGCTTTGATGTGATTTGTTCGTCTTAGTTTCAAAGCTCTCCGCTGTCGCTATTGATGAGTTGTGATACATATTATCTTGAGCTTTCATTCTTCATAGTAGGACTAGTAGGATGGCTAGCCCTGGCTAGCCTTTCCATCTACTTCTCGAAGGCCTTTAGACTTGGAAATACGACGTGCATTTCCAATATTCTATCTTGGATGTGACTCCAACCCTAAACGCCTCCGCAACGTTCATGAAAGGACGGAAGGATGAACCTAAATTTGCAATCCGGCCCATCACAGACTGCGGGTCAGGCTCCTTCCCGCCGTTTTCGGGAGTTAGCACAAATACCGCACTCGAATGCAGCCCCTCCTAACCCCCGAAGACGGCGGGAAGGAGCCTGACTGCGGGTAGCAATTGAGTCTCAGTCCAAGCGCTTGGAATCTAACAACAAAGAACAGTAGCGTGCCACATCACGTTGATTCCGAGTACTCCCAGGCCATCGCGTAACGGGGTGCGTTTGATCGCCAAGTGTGAGCTCCAGCCACAGCTGCGGCTAGGTTCGTCTGGAGCATAAAGGACGCAAGTAGTACGTGAAACGAGCACCATAGCTTCTTGTTTAGCAACCATGTCCCACCTGACAATTCTGCGCAGCTATGCACAGAAGAAGCCGGAGGACATCCTCCCGTCAGTTCGTCTACTCCACTCCGAACACACAATCACCATATTCGACAAGTATGAGAAGGCCATCTTTCACTTTCTCGTCCTTCCGCGCGTCAAGCCACCGTACACCCTGGACCACTTGAGGAATCTGCGGTCGCTGCTTCTAGGTGACAGAGAGCAAGCGAAACAGCTTCTTGAAAGAATGGCAGAGGATGCGAAGGCCGTGCAAGCCATGATTGAAGACGAAATGATGAAGAAGTATGGTTTCAAATGGGACATATGGATGGGATTCCATGCCATTCCATCCTTACCGTATGTGTTTCTATTGCGGACATTGCCTTTTGACTGATATCTTGCAGACACCTCCATCTCCATATAATATCGTCGGACCTTTGTTCTAACTACCTAAAGACAAAGAAGCACTATAACTCTTTCCATCCTGGTCATGGGTTCTTCATCAAACTCCAAGATGTGCTTGAATGGTTTGAGCCCGATACTGACCCGCGTTGGGTTGAGCTAGTTCGTGTATCTTTGCCCTTGTGTTGCGTATAGATAATATCCTGATAGTGCTTTGACTAAATATAGCAGGCCAAGCTTCTCGTCGAGACTGAATACGGGGACCGCCTGAAGGAGAGCTTCCACTGCTGGCGATGCGACTTGATGATAGGAAGCTTCGCGGAGCTCAAAGGACACCTGCAGGCGGACTGGGAGAAGGAAGGCAAACGTAAAAAGGCGGCGATAGAGAGGAAGAGGATAGAGGCGGAGAAGAAAGCCCTCTCCTCCAAAAGGCAGCACGCGGAACTCTCATCCTCGGAAGAGACAACTTCGAAGAAGCAGCGCGTAGGTTCACCGTCTGCTGCCCAGGAGGAGCCGACGCAGGACCCACTCGATGACTCACAGGGTACGGGTCCTGAGAAGACGAACAAACACGAATGAGCAGCTCGCGGGGTTCGACCACCCTCGCTTAGCATCTGCAAGCAGTGCCAATGTCATCTTGCCGGTTGCATTCATGACCCAAGCCCATTCGGTCACATTGATATCCATTGCATATTCCATCTGTGTTTAATGGCGTGTACGCTCTAATTTCACATTATCAGACACATAACTGCTTTTTCGGTTTGCTACACGGATGTACACTATACAGGATCACGGACGTAGATGTCATTCTATGAGAATTGTTCATTGTTTCGTACAGGATACTCGACTGCATTCACTCGGAGATCGCGGCTCCCGCCTCTTTCTTTAGCTCAAGGGACCGGGCCCGGTTGCGCTCCGAAGCCTCACGAATGGCCCAGGTGAGTTGGTACGTCTTGCATGCATCTATGGTACAGTCAGAGTCAGACAGCGAGCGCCCGTCAGAAGTAGACGCGTTAACACACCCTCAAACGTGCTAAGAATCTGCGCGGTTTCCGGGTCCTCCTCAATATCCTCGATGTTGTCGATGAGCACGGATATCTGTAGAGCAATGTTTGAGTATTTATTGTGCTTCTGCCGCTATACTGGATCATCGTACTTCAGAGAAGAACGGGTCGTCATCCGGGAATCTGTGGGACTCCTCGTGATCGTTGCCGGGTCTACGAATGAAGAGCACGGGCTGGACGTAGGGGTTGACGAGCCTGAAGACGACGATTTAGCTTCTGATACGCAGGCACAACATATGATATCAACATGCGTACTTCAGCTGGTAACCGTCAGCGTAGACCTCCAGCTCGCAGCTGTAGTCGTGGCCTTGGAGCGCCACCAGGTGCGTGAAGCTGCCGACAGCACCGCTCTCATATTTCCTGCGGATGCAAATGTATTAGATGCCATCGATGTAAGCACGGCGAGTACTGACCATGTAGCGGCGGTGACACGGGGGATCCTGTTCTCCGGCGGGATGGCAGTCTCGTCAATGACAATCTTGGAGAGATGTCCCGCATTCTCGTCCCAATCGAGCGAGTGCGCGGAGACGGTGGTCATGTCGACGTCGCCCCCAAAGTAGCGCGACAGGTCGCAGAAGTGCGTGCCCTGCTCGATGACGGGGCCAGCGCTGGGATGTGTAGTATTAGCGCAAGCCATGACGCTTTGCATTGCATGGATGCACACAGTACCTCTTGGACTTGTCCCACCAGTCTGGCTTGGCGATAGCCTCGTACGCGCACGCATAGCGCGCAACGGTGGCCATGACCGTGAGGTTGTTGTCGTTAATGATCTGCTTCATCATCTGCACGGCCCTCAGGTAGCGCAGCATGTACCTGCACATCTCTCAGGAACTACCAATTTCAGCAGACAGATACAGGAACCTACCCGACGGAGCAGAGCGTGCCGCTGTCGGAGATGCGCTTTGCAATCGTGAACGCCTCCTCGATTTCGCTGGACGGGCCGGTCGCGGCGGGCTTCTCGATGAACATCGCGACCCCGGGGAAGAACTTGAGGATCTGGAGCTCGATGTCGCGCCCGGTCTGCACCGTCCCGCGGAACATGGGCGGGGAGCCGACGATGACCGCGCGTGGCACGTCCTTGCGCGACATGTTCTTCACAAAGTCCTCGAGCGTGCGGAAGACGCGGGTGTTCTCGTACGCGGAGCGCACGAACGTCTCGCACTTCTTCTGCAGCACTGCCGTCGCACGGTCGATCGCCGGATCGATCAGCGCGACGACCTTGAGGCGCGGTCCGAGTTTGCTGTGGGCAGAGCGGTATGAGGGACACCCCGCGCGACAGCGAGAGGCGGGGCTAACTGTTCGAAGCGGAAGGAGTGGTTCCAAGGGCCTTCGTCCGAGCCTGAGGTGGGTATATGCGCGTGAACACAATTCCTGCGCTCTGAAGAAGTAGATTACATACCGAACATAATGTTGCCTGCGCCGATGAAGAGCACATTGAAGTCATTAGTACCTGCAATAGCAGACGCTCTACATTTGGTCAACAGATCAGGATTGTCACGTCATGATGCGCTCTGATAGTGATGGCTGAGAGAACAGCGAGGGTCTTCATAGCCCCAGGTTGCGATGCGATGCGCTGTGCTGATGCAGCCGATGTAACTGCGTCATGTTCCAGAGCGCAGTGGACGATGCGGCTAACACTGCACAACGCTTAATGAAAGATTTTGTGCCTCTCACATCCTCGACCTATAAGGCGTGTAGGGGCAGTTCGGAGATCACTTCATTGTGGCTAAAACAACCGTGGACGACGATCCTCGAAGACTGGGGTCGATTGGCACCCCAACGCGAAAACACGGGGACGAACGCGTATATGAGGATTATACTGACTTGTCCATGGGCAACAGCCTCGACGGATCGATCGAGGGGCGGCGGGATGACGTCCCCGACTGCCTCCTCGATATAGGCGAGTCCAACACCGAGCCCCGTCGGCCGAGCAGGGTCCCGGGCACGGGGGAGTCAAGGACGGAGGGTCGCCGGCTTGCCATATTGTGACTGTGTGTTGAGGTAGATGAGGGAGAGGAAGAAGAGGGTTGGACGAAGGAGTTCTGCGGGGACGTGCGCCAAGCAGGGCCGCTGAAATATGGAGCGGGCTGATTGAGATAAGATGCGGGGGTGATGAGGACCGTGAGGCAGCGTGCGTTAGCGAGGGGAGCACCCAGACGCGCTCTCTGCCTTTGGCTTCTCATGTCCTTAATATCCGTTCGATTCATCCTTGATATATCCTGCCCAAACTCCAGGCAGTTACCGCAGCTATGGTACAACTAAAACAGAATGCTGATGTCGAAACTGCCAGCGGGCAATGTATACAGTTTCGTGTAGCGTGTATGGAGATCCTACTGCATCCGATATGGACCAGGAACACGACTATATGGCGGGGTATGACAGGGCCAGTCTGGGCGAGTGCAAAAAGGCCGGTAGAAGATGGTATAGGGCGTGTCACGACGCTTGCGCAGGTCTCTCCTGCGAACGCGCCGCGCGCTGGCTCAGCTCTCGCTGCTTCCGTTCTGCCGCCTCCAGCCGCTCTGTCATCGCGCGCAGCTCTGCCTGCAGTTTCTCGTTCTCCTGTGTGAGCTTGAGCACGTTGCTCGCGCGTTTCTGCACCTTTTGTATTCTGGAGTGACGGTGGCAGCGAGGGGTGGAGCGGACGTTGAGCGGCTTGTGGTGCTGCGAGGTGACGGCTACAACTTACTCGGGTTCGTCATCGCGCGACTGCGGTTCCGATAGAATAGACTCAAAGGTCATCGTGAGGTCCAAGTCAGATTGAGGCAAGTCAAGGTCCGGGAGTTTGGGGGAACTTCCAGACTTCTTCGGCTGGTCGTCATCGGGTCGTATAGAGGGCTCCCTGCGTCCCATATCAAGCTGAGTGAGTGAAACGGATTGAAGAAAAGGTATGCCTACCGAGATACTTGCTCCTGAGGCTGTTCGTAATGGGTCGCGGAAGACATTATGCAGGATGAGGTATGCGGACTGAGTAGTGCAGGCTGGTGGTTGTAAGGGTACCCATTACGCGGAGGCTTACACGATCCGGTAGCACTAGCACTGATCATCGCTATACAACTGATTGGGTGATACGTCACAATCTGATCGACACCGTTCCCTATGCGACGTACACCGGTCTCTTGATTGCCTTGCCTCAGGATTACAGCATTTACTCTAGATGCATATACTTGTATACGACCGAAGAAGACTATCTCAACCCTGATGCTACCAATACCCAAGTCGCGACTTGTGCTATGTCCGAATACACCCGCGTCGACTGCTATTGGCAAATCTCCACAGTGAACGTTCTAGGATCGCAGCTATCAGTCACAGCTTGAGGATGAAGTGACGGGGTGATATTTGGCAGTCGAGACGTACGGCTACTTACCTGTGTCAGATGTCTATCAAAGAAGCAGTCCACTCCCTCGAAATGTTGTCTTGATAGTGCCCTGCCTGGCTTTGAAGGCAGCACTCCTCGCGCGCGCGCGCCCAATGCATAGCGTTTACGCTCGGAACCCAAAGGTATGCAGATCAGGCGAGACAGATCGAGAGTGAGTCATTACCAGCATCGTCTATTCGACGCAGAGAGAGGCGGTGGCCGCCGTATCATTGTTGAATGATGTGATTCTGTGCGGTTTGATCAGGACCACTCATATAGATCTCCTAGGGATAGACAGGTAGCGACTGCGCTGCCGAAGAGGAAGAGCAAGCCGCCTCTCGTCATAAGGTTTGCGACAATGAGGAGGCTGTCAAGGGGGAGGCGGTCAACATCAGAACGCGTACCGTAACGCGTCTGTCACAGTAGTGCGTGACAAGACGCGACGCATCTTCGCGGAGTTCCACCATGTCTTCCTTGATAAGATTCTTGAGTACCCTGCTTGAAATAGTCTGTCATAACGATAAAGATTCTTGACGACCTCGAGCTAAAGTGGGCGGCAGGTATCTGTTTCAGTGGACTGGATGGAACTCCCCATAGATATCAAGGTATGTGATATAAACTCTCTGCTACGGTTCCACTCCTGATATGACCAATGCACAGGGTGGTTGGGAGACTATACTCAATGAAGACGTGACCCTCAACGGCGCGTTCTCTTTCATATCTCTCATATGGTAGCGTGTACAGCTCGAGCGTGAGAAGTTTGACTGAGACGCACATCCTTGCCTGACACACAGACCCCATGCACGAGGTGCAGCCGATCGAAAGCGGATACCGACTTGCGTTGTCGTCCAAATTTTCAACTTCATCCACACGAGTACGGCTCTGCACCCATCCCCTTCCTTATAATTTGTCTCCAAACCGCACAGGACGATTTCGGCGGGAGAATCATCGCCAGTTTGATAGATATGAAGAATCAGCCGCAGTCAATAATTTAAGGACGCGTAAGAGACGTCTTGCTTCCGCTTTCAATGACATCACTGTCGGGGGAAGACGCGCTCGGTCCTCAGGAGGGCTGATAGACTTATAGGTACTTCGTGGATGCATCGTCATCGTCATTTTCATGATCCCTGGACAACCAGTCTATAAAGGTCACGGTGCCGGGAATCGCCAAGCATACAATATGCAGGTTTAGAATGATGCCGCCATTGAATTTAAGCGCTAGATACTTGGGTTCAAAGCGCTTACGCGTGACAGTCCGCGTGTGTCACATAGACGCGTCGTTGCAGTCACCACTTCTGCCCGCGTTTGTGCTCTTCGCTATTTTGTGCAAATATGGTGAGGCACTGGAAGTCATCTTGAGCGATTTTCTACAAGCACAGTTGCGAATATGTTGTCCGAGATATGACACTGGTCCGCATGCTTATGAGTGTCTAACCACGATGGCAGGACGGGGCGCCGGAGAATAAACCACAACCCAGAACACAGTCTTTAGAAGATCAGGAAATCAATGCCGCTCCAGGAATATCATTTGAAGCAGACAATTCACATTCACCGCGAGTTCTGGGGTCGTCAGAGGCAGCTTTAGTCAAGACAGAGACGATGACGGATCGTCCGCAGCGAGATTCAGAGCCGATGACCCTGGCGGCGCCAGCTGGGACATACGGACATGTTGGTGGAAAGACCATCATCATGTATGCCCCAGCTTCCTCACAGCCCTCGGACAGCGAGGACGAGGAGGATGTAGATGCACAATTGGATGAATGTATGTAGTGGTATCCTGATAATTGAAATGGTCTCTGATGATGATTAGGCTAGGATATTGAGAGTACAAGTATCATCAATGCTTGCGTTCGTGAAGTCGAGTTCTCTGGTCCTAAATCTCTGGATGCCCAGGATAGATATGATAATATCGCTATGGAACTCAAGAGCGACGGAAGTAGGGGACGAGGGGATGACTGATATCAAAGGAGAAGACATAGAGGAAGCGGAAGAAGACGAAGAAAAACAAGATGAACCTCTCGAGAATCCTTCTACGGATATCAGAGTGAGTGCTTCGTACTTTGCATATACTTTACTGATAGTTTGTTGCGAATCAAACTAGGGCGATTTAGCGCAAATACTTTCGGAGGAGTCGTCAGTCAAAGGGTCGTTTGCCTTCCATCATTCATACCCTAAAGCGCCAAATCCCACTCTGTATCTTGATGGACTTGGTCATATAGGACTTCCGTTGAGCATACGCGATGCGGAGGCCATCAAGTCAAAGGCAAACCAAGCCCCTTTTGGCATGGGTGAGCGCACAGTAGTTGACAAGTCTGTACGGGATACCTGGGAATTGGATGCGTCGCAGGTAGCTAAGACCTTGAACCATAGAAGTCGTGTCCTAGCTCATAGCCGCCCTACTAGGTACGCTTCGATAACCCGGCCTGGGACCCGTTCTTGAAACGTGTCGTGCAAGAAATCTGTACAACGCTCGGAGTCAACATCGCAGCAAGCGAACCACGATGCGAGTTGTACAAGCTGCTACTGTACGAGACCAGCTCTCAGTATGTCCACGACGCATTTCTACGGCACTATTATCTCAAACATGTGTCGTGACAGTTTCCTACCTCACGTAGAGTAAGTGCAACGCAGACACCATCTAACTCGCGCCTCATGCATATATCACAGCACAGAGAAAGCGGACGGAATGTTTGCGACCATCGTCGTTGTACTGCCGTCTAAATTCAAAGGAGGCAGTCTGCACGTTTCACATGGGGGTCTTAATACTTTCTACGACTGCAGTCCAAAGAGTCTTACGGAGACGAACGTCCTGGCATGGTACACAGACGTCATGCACGAGGTCAAGCCCATCACGAGTGGATGGCGACTAGCGCTGTCATTCAACCTCGTTCACACAACAACGTCTTTGCGTCCGGCCTTGTCTGGCCAGACCGAACTCGTTGGAAGAATGCGACACGTCCTTCTATCGTGGAAGCAAGATCTTGATGGAGACGCCCCCCTTAAATTAATCTACCTCCTCGAACACAAGTACCCCCAGGCAAACCTTCGGGGAAGCGCACTGAAAGGCCGCGACGCTCAAATTGTTGCTCTTCTTGACCTTCTGGCGAAGCAGCTTGACTTCCGCCTTGGTCTGGCAAACGTGGTATGTCGTGTTTCTGGTTACGCCGACGATCCAGGCTATGGAAGAGGTGGTTGGGGAAGAGGATACTCTAGCGATGAGGACGCCGACGAAACCGACGAATATGTCGGCATGGGCGAGGTTGAAGACACCTCTCTTAGCATCGAGAACATGGTAGACCTGGAAGGCACCTTGATCAGAAAGCACCTGGATTTCGCTTTTGAGACGGAAGGGATGCCGGAAGACCTTGATGAGGTGCTCCAGGAGGGAACGTACGACGAGCAAGAGTACGAAGGCTACCTCGGAAATGTATGCCGTCCTGTAATCATCATTTGCGGTGCTGACCGTGTCCACAGGGGGCTGGTTCCTTGGAGCGATGTGCGTTGGCCCGAGTTCTTATTTGAGTCGTCTCTAATAGCCCATGATAACATGGTACAGGGTACCGCCGGACCGTTCTAGTAATCTGGCCGAGATCGAGCCACTATGACATTGTTCTTGGGGCTGACGGACTCAATTATGCATGTGATAAGATCAAGAACACAGCTTCCACCTACCCATCAGCGGAAGAAATCGAGTTGACGGATTACGCCCTGCGTCGCGCAGGGTCGTCCGATGTTAAACTAGTGGTCGACAGTATTTGTCACACTGCTATCAAATGGAAGATGCTCACCTTGTGGATGCGCGCTGTTGGCACTTGCGATGCGCTTCGCAGTATCTCGACGCTGGACGGGGTCAACATACGAGCAGCATTACAGACATTTGGCTTCCACTCCATTCAGCCTACGTCAGTGTTTGTGACTGTCATCTACGCGACTGGCTAACACATGTCGTAACAGCCTCGAGACTGCCCTAGAACGAGAGCAAAGCAACTCTACACGGCTACGCTTCATCGATGAGCTCGAGAATTGGGCTAAAGATGATATAGCCCAGGGCCTTGCTCACGAAGTCAAAGATTGGCCTGCACAACAACGCGAGACAGCGTTGAACTCTTTGAAGAAACCTCAGGGCGACGAGTATAAGCTCCTGCTGTCTATTGCTCTGAGATATGGTGGGCTCTTATGCCTCGAGGCTAGGTGCGTTTCTTCCCTCTCCCTTCACCGTTTGTTTTGCGAAATTGATTAGGACTTCCTTTTCTACTTATTAGATTACTGCCGCAAATCAAGTCCACAGCAGGCTGCACATTTCTGCTTGAGTTTGCTACACATTTACATGACCAGACTGACTTTGCCGATTCCGACAACCGAAGTCGAATCATAAAGGATCTCATCAGCTCTGCCATAGCCAAAATCGACTTTTATGCCCCTCATAAACCCAAGGAGCCTGCATGGAGTCACCACAGGACCTCCCCTGAATCAACGCACCATCTGATTAGAGCCCAACGCTTCCTCAGGACCTGTTTCAAGACAGGTCGAGACGATCTCATCGGCGCCGTCGTCGAAAAGCTCACAGACATGAAGGGGCAATCGCGTGCTGTGGCTCAGACGCGGGCAAAAGAGGTCTTGCTACCACTCGTCACTTCCCTCGCCGACGTCTTCCGTTCCGCACCCGCGACCGAAACTATACTACCTCCGCGAAAATTATGCAATGTTGCAGTTAATCTGTATCTAGATTCGCTGAGCGAAAACCCGAGTTCAGCCAGGAAAACGGATATTTCTTCCGTCATGCAGGTTCTCATATTGGCCCGTCAGTCAGAGCTGATTATATCTACGTATGTGTCGGTTGCATACAATCGGAATGCTGTTTATTCTGACCATCTGGGTGTACAGGGTCGTCCCTCATGTGGAGGCAATGTCGCTCGATGCACATGGTCTACGGGCGTTTTTTGAAGAGCTCCACTCGAAGCGTAAGGATATCCAAGGTGCGAACGCAGGGGAGCGCGATCAAGATGTTCAACGCACCATGGAGATGCTGGTCACCAAATACGCGAGAATTACCCATCTACACGCTTACACAAACCCTAGCTACTACTTAGGAGCGACTGGGGTTGGCTCCATTGTCGATGTACTGAACTGCTGTCTCGCCGTGGGTGTCCCTCAAGCTTGTCCCATCGTCCTTGAGCGCTTGCTGGAGGCATCGCTGGAGGAAGGTTACTTCAATCGCACGCTCATACCCCTGTTGCCAGAGCTGCACAAGTTGCTCATTAGACATGGACAATCTCCTGCCTCAGATCCTTTTGGCTCTGTATTCCGACGTATCGTGTTAAGATGGGCAGAGCAGGTTCTGGGGCCTCAGCCAGCAGACAGTTCCTCGAAGCTCATGACAATACAGCAAAAATGGACGTGTTCCTGTCACCTTTGCTCACCCGTGCGGCAGTTTCTGCTGGCGAAGCCGGAGAAAATAGCGACGTTCCATCGAATTGGTGCTCCGGCTAGGAAACATATCGAGAAGTTTCTCGAATCCTGCGCCGGTGCACGGGCTGCAAAGTGGGACACTGTTCGCACAACACCTCAAGGGCTAACGGTGCGCATTCATATAAATATACCTGTGCTGGGAGTAATTGTCGGCGCACCATAAGTAACGAAGGACAATTCAATATACCTACCTATCCGATGGGTGTCCAACCAGAAGATAGGGATGGGTATACTAAGGAGCATTAGCGGCGATACAAACGAGCTGAAGGCAATCCTCAGAGAGGATTACACTCGTATCGTCCATCTCCTCGACGGAAAACGTGTAACGGACACGTCAACTGTTGCAGCCGTCACTTCATCAGCGGTTGCTGCAGTGAGACGTACCCCTGCGTCGAGTCGTCAACCACTCCCAGTCGCCTATCGTCCCGCAGCACAAAATACGCACCGGGATCCTGCAGGTAATTCGGCTCCTCGACCATCGCTGTTACCAGCGGCAAATCGTTCTACCAATTTACTATTGGCGTCAGCTCCAGCTCAGGGACGACCCTGCTCAGTCTCAAATTGACTCAACGGCGGGCCATGGACCTGCAGGAATTCCCCAAACGCGACCAGCTCCTGCTCCTTCTGTATCAGAACAAGCCCCCGAGCCTCCGAGAAAGCGAAGAAAAAGATATTGCGACAGTGAGGACGTGATTGACCTTACGAGCGATTAGGGCCGGCCTTACGGCAAGTTACTCGCCGTATACAAGAAACAAGCACGAAAGAGTACGGCAGGAGCCAACCCGTTATGATCTATGCGCATATACTATACCATCATTGCATTATATGACCGGGATAATAAAATAGGTTAAGAAGCGAGCAGTTCTTGCTATGGTGAATGAGCAAATTGGGTTCAGCATTGGCCCAAACGCTGAAGTGATACTGACGAAGGTTGATTGCCCGCCTCAAGACGCCACCCGAGGGCAACAAGCGTATCGCACCAGAGATGGTGAGATTTGCTCGCTGCCTATGAATGTGTTGATGTCTTATGTTCTCATCGCTAGTGGTAAGGGTGATACAGAGGTGGAAACCCATAGCGTCGTATATTCAGAGCAATGCCAGAATGATAGGAGGGGATGAATACAGTGAAGAAATAAGTGCTCCCCAGTATCCGTAACTACTTTTGGTACGACCACACGTTACGGAGTACTGTTATTGGATCCATGAACAACTATACGGAGGATCTGAGAATGGCACTTACGGCCAGCCTTCGTTGCCAATCGGTTAAGAGAGTCGTCACTCTCACCCATCGCGCGGACCGGGCCGCAGAGCGCAAAGGTGGTAGAGGTAGCTAGTGCCCGGCCGTCGGCATCAACGTCGCAGATACTGATCTGCACCGAGGCATGGTCCTTTGCCGTGATCAGACGGTCTAGGATGTTCGGACTTGTCAGAATCCACTTTGCTATTCTCAATAGTTCAATAAGACGTACTGGTCGCCGCGCACTTGCGGGGGACGTAAAGGTCGACAAGGACACCCTAGAATTGCGGTTTTCGCTCAAAAACAGTGCATTCCGCCGCGGAATGTCATATATCCCTACCTGATCGTTCTCCATTGTGAAATATGGCGCGGCGGCGTGAGTCGTGGAATGTGTGGCACGGCGTAGAGGAGTAAGGTTAGAAACTGTACAGTTATGACTTTTCTATTTGTCCGTGCTTGACCTTCCAGATGAGGACAGGTAGGGCCACGTGGATGCGCACGTGAAATGACGCGCCTTGGCAGGTTGTGGTCGACGCCGCACTGTTCAGGTCGCCTCAGTCTGCTTGCCTTTCGGACCACCTACCACTACTTTGTCTCTAGTTGGCTATCGCTTTGACATTATACAGACAGTAAAGCCAGGAAATTCTCACAACTTGAATCATTGCGTGCTCAGTACATTCAACACCTAACTATAGGAGTGCCATCTGCGCGTTACATCCATACCTGTTGCCAACCTGAGATATTTTGCCCTCGAAATCACGTCTGTCGATTGTATACCTAGACGACTATGTTAGTCTTTCTTCTCACTACAGTGATGCGCTTGCTCATTCGTGGACAGCTGCGTTGGAGCTGCGCGCGCAGCTGTTGCACAGTCGGGGCTACAAGCCGAAACCGATAAGTTGAGGCCGGCGGTCTTTATGGGAGGCTCCCCGAACCTTGTACCTCTTGAGAGCAGATTGTCCACAATATCTGTGAGCTAGACCTTCTGTATATCATGCCGGAGCTACTGGACTTGTGTATCTAGGTGGATTCGATGGTCGAAATCAAGCATGAGTCCTTAGCTCAGGATAGCTCGCATTTCTCATCTCCTTCGTCAAACGAAGAGGAGAGTAAACATAGGCTCATATATAGCAAGTCGAAGGTGTACGTCAATCCGACAGCATATGCCAAAGACAACATTCCAGGATTTGTTGCCCTTGTGAAAAGGGTTGGTAATGCTAAACCTGCAGTGCATTTATCGATGTCTGACCCTGTCTACCTGTCTACATAGGACGGTATTAATCCTACATACCTCCTCGCATGGATCCCGGAAACGTTGCTTCATGAGAAGGGAGAGAAGGAATGGAACAAATTTATGAAGTTCGAAGAGAGCACGGCCGTGGATGACGAATATGAGGGTAAGTCCTTTGTCCTAAGTCTCCACCATCACATGGAAGTGATCTCCGCCATATGAGCAGATGCCGTATTGATCGATCTCCCGGTACAACGCCCCGAGTCCTACGCGTTCTCTGTGCCAGTTACTTCAATCTACTCTCTGATTGTAAACTCGCCTTCGCTATCATCATGGTGTGAGTAGCCCTTTTATACTTTACAATATTGATCTGAACGAGCTGCCAACCCCCAGATGGATCAATTGCGATCAATCTCATAAGCGGTTCTACGCTGCCGACATTGCATTTTCATGATGATGAGTCTCAGTCATTCACAATGTCCGCAAAATCGCCCACAGATACCCCGCGGAGCCCCTCCACATATCCACCGCCACCATCAGATGCCACGCCGCCACCCAAGACCGGTAGCACCTGGGGCGGGGAGGATCTGCTTGCTCGGCTGCGGTTCTACGCCCATATCCTGCGTTCCAGTCTCCAGCCGAATCTATATTTGGTAGACCCGTCCAGAGAGGATATTGAGACACATTCTACTCAGCTGTTTTCGGACACAGCTGTCGACGACATCCTCGCCCAGTCCTCGTTTGCCAACTCGCACTCCCCTATCCCTGCCCACCGCCGTCCGCGTCCCGTCTCATCACCTCCCAATCCGTATTCTATGCGCGCGTCCATTCTCCACCGCTCACTACCTCAAGGGTCCTCTTCAAACGCTTCGGGCTCGCAAGCACGGATGGCATTGCTTCAATCATTCTCACAGATTACTCGCCACGCTGCCCATGCTGCGCAGCAGATTCTGTCACACCCGCTCGCGAAACCTATCGTGCCTCATCTTCCTGATCCCGTAAAGAGCCTTGTCAACGCTAACGGCGAGTGGGAATGGGGAAGCTGGGTAGAGAAGGGCGGTGTTGGCGAGTTCGAGAGTGCCCGCGTGTATCTTGCGCGGTGGGCGCGCATCGTGGCGGAAGAGGGCGAGCGGGCACGGCGACAAGAAGCACAAGCATTGCCATCCTCCTCAGAGCCGGCAGAAGAGTCGTCTTCCCTAGGCGTTTTCGAACTCCTGCAGTCGACGGCGAATTTGCCGACCCCGAAATCATCCCGAAATCCTAAACACCCTGTTGATGAGAGGCAATGGAGAAAATGGTTCGATCCGGAGGGGCGTCCGAAAACAAGGATCGAGGAGATGAGGCGTGAGATTTTCAGTCGCGGTACCAGCTCCACTGGAATGCTTCGGCAGGAAATCTGGCCGTTCTTACTTGGAGTATATGAATGGGATGCAACCGCTGCTGAGCGGGCTCAAAAATGGGAAGAGAAACGGTCAGTTCCAATCAAGCTGTATAATGTGGTAAGAGCTGATTGCTGCCACAGCAAGCAGTATCAGTCGCTCAAGAACGAGTGGTGCGGGGTCCCAGAAGTATTCGAACGCCCAGATATCCTCGAAGTAAGGATGCGTCCAGGCTCTCGCAGGGTGTGTTGTACACCACTCACCTCGCACTCAATAGGAACGACATCGAATAGATGTAGATTGCCGGAGGACGGACCGCTCGCAACCACTGTTCGCAAGTACTACACCTAATTCTACGCCTGCGAGCGAGGATGTAGAGGATGAGAAGCGGATGCATATGCGCTATTCAACCATGTCACCGCAGACGTGTGATATCGGCGCACAGGCACCGACAAACGAGCACATCGAGCGCTTGGCTTCCATTTTACTGACATACAATCTATACGAGAAAGAGCTCGGTAAGTACATAGACACATGACACTCGACTGCCACAAATCAAGCTGATGTGTATGAAGGCTACGTCCAGGGAATGTCAGATCTTTGTGCCCCAGTGTACGTCGTGATGGACGGTGACGAGGAGCTGACGTTTTGGTGCTTCGTTGAGATTATGGATCGCATGGTACGTGCATGCATTACAAGCGCGTCAGCTGCCCATGCTAAATTAGGACTGCGATTACAGAAACAGAACTTTCTCCGCGACCAAAGCGGCATGCGCAAGCAACTGTCAACTCTCCAGCAATTGATTGCTGTGATGGATCCAGAGCTCTATCGGCATCTAGGTACCGTGTCAACAGATGTTGCAATGTGTTTTGCTGATACATGGTTTCAGAGAAAACAGATTCACTCAACCTGTTCTTCTGTTTTCGGTATGTGTACCTCTTCCGCAGATAACTAAATCGATTGCTCAGCTGGCCGCAGATGGATCTTGATTCACTTCAAACGCGAATTTCCCTTCGAAGATGTCTTACGCCTATGGGAAGTGTTGTGGACCGACTATTATAGTAACAACTTTGTTATTTTCGTCGCTCTTGCCGTCTTGGAGTCGCATCGCGATGTCATTATGCGGTATCTGGTTGAGGTTCGTCTACGCATATGTTACGCTACCAATATTGATAGCTGAACATACATTAAACAGTTCGATGAGATACTGAAGGTATGTTTCCGTCAAACATCCTGGACGAATATCGACACTAAGCGCATCATGCTGCATAGTACTGCAACGAGCTCAGCATGACTATAGAATTAGACTCGACGCTCGCCCAAGCCGAAGTCTTGTTCCTGTCCTTTGCCCAGTTAGTCGCCGACATGGACCGTCGTCAGGCCGAGGAGAATCCTACCTCGGTGGGAACTGCTCGCCGGCGGATCAAGACAAATTCTACCGGCGGACCGGAAGCTGGGAATAATGAACGCAGGGTCGCCACGAAACGAGTTTCTCTGAGTGACGACATGCGGTCCTTATTGGTCGCCGGACGGTGACAAGAGTTGCCATCTACACATAGCAACGCTTTGGGTGTATTGTATTCGTGCGTGCATTTGTACTAGCTCCATATATTGTATCATAGCCATTCACGATGTCCAGACTGACCGTAGCCCTTCTTCATCCTTCAAGACGATACAGGAACGTCATAGCGTGGCATCTCAGAGGTAAGCTTCCAGAGGACTTCTACGGGTCAAACGCTTCGCGTCGGTCGTTCGTCGTCTCACAACATATGGACGACTTGCATTCCTACATTTGAATTGGCGTTTCACACCTTGTACTAACAAATGCATAAGGTGAGTTGCTGAGTACATGACACTCCTCAATATGCTTTCTCCTCTGCACATCACCTCTGTGAAGTGGTCGAGTGGTTAGTCGCTCCGATCGCTGCAAGTGTGCGCCATGTGATAAGTCCAGCCGACTTTGCCGGTCGGCTGCTGCAGAATCCTGCCGTTATCGATGTATACGCAGTCGTCAATCTTTGGATTCGCCCACAAGGATGTGTGGCGGAGATTGAATACGGACGGCAACGCAATGTCAGACGTCGCATCTTGCATTGAGCAACATGGGAGATCATTTTTATGGGGATGGCACCGATGAAACGCATCCACGGGTATCCAAGCGATTATATATCTCAGCGAGCCTCGGGGCTACCACGCATCACGGTCAAAGGTAATCGTCGGAAATTGTGAAAGGTTTACGCTTGGCGAGACTGCGCCGCGCGTCGATTTTCAAACGAGTACTAGATTCATTGAGCTGGATCTACCACAGGGGTAGATATTATGCTTCCACAACGTTGGTCTAACGCACGGATGCCTCTCAAGTAGAGACATCTTATTAATCTTAGCTGACGAACCGGGTCCGATGATCCACCCGTACGGATCTGTACGGAAGTGTCGCTAAGTAACCACAATGAAGATTACGCCCAGAATCCTCAGGGGTCCTCGCCCAAGGGTCGGTACCTTGATGCAACCATAACTACCAATTGACCTTGGCGACCATTTGAGGTGGAAGATCTCAGTAGAATTCTCAACGTCCGGCCCGGGTCTGATGCTGGGAGGTTAAAAGAGCTTAGGGTCTTGGTTGTTCTCTAGACCGTGGTATTGCTTTCCCTTTCCCCAGCTAGCCTGGTTGCAGAGCTTCAAGTTACTCGGTATGTTCGCCCCTGCTGCCTCTCTTGACGTTGCGTTCAACGGTGCATAGATTCGCAGGTCGTCGGCCGTTCCCTTCATTTTGACTTCAAAACATTCATTTTGTTTGATATAACCACATCTTTTCTTGAAGCCTTGATCTCGTCATGTTGTCCAACCACGTGCTTGCTCTTGCTTTGGCGTGCTCTGCCATAGCTTTGCCAATTATGAAACGTGAAGTGCCTCAGGGTAAGTAACGCGGTGCAGCGCATGCTTGTCACTTACTGAAAATCTTTGCTTTGCAGAGCACTCACACAACATCGTTCTGGCGTCCGTTCGCCCCATGCTCGCGCTCGACAATCCTAATAACATCGAGGACCCGGTATTTGGTCTGCTAGGAAACGCAGCCGCCGCCGCAGGCGCTGGAAGTATTACAGTGGGTCTTCCGCTCATGATGTGCTCTTTGCGAAGAGGGCGTTGACCCCGCAACAGAATCTAGATTGTCTCCAACAAGACACTGCCGACCAGGCCTTCACCAATGCGAAGGCGGCGGGTAACGTGACAGGCATGACCTATGCCCTGATCTATCGAGCCATTGAGCGGAACACAGCGGCCGTGGGTCAAGCGTCGGTCATCTGTAACGAGACAGCAAAGAACCCGGAGATTGCAGCCATCACGCAACACCAGGTCCGTCATTACTTTCCGTGAAACTATGCTTACTGACATGTCAAAAAAGGACCCTGCATCTGCCAACGCCGCTACCACGAACAAGAACATCGTCCTCGCGCTTGCGAAGCAGATTGCGTCCGTCGGCGGCGACCCGCAGCTGGCCCTGACGTCCGGCACTTTCGCGCCAGGCACTATCGGCGACCCTACTGCCGCGGGCAACACATGTGATGTCGCCGACGACGAACCTGGGTGCATCTTCTCGCAGAACCTTCTGGTCGACGATGCCACCGCCGCAGAAATAAGTGCTGCTGTTGCAGGTGTCGCTGCCACATCTGCGGCCGCGTCTGCAGCCTCGACCGCGGCGGCAAGTGCTACCACCGCTGCCGACGATTCCACTGCAACGTGCGCTTCCATTGGTAACTATCATGGCAGCTTCTGTTCGTACTCTGTGCTTACGTGGACATCCTCTAGCCACCGTCACTATTACTGTGACAGACGCTGCGACTGCCACAGCCGCGACGGACGTCGCGTCGGCCACCGCGGCAGCAACGACGACTGCAGCGTGAGTCTCCCGCGCGAGTTTTGCACCATGTCATCTGATAGCAACTGTACAGAGCGGCTGCGGCAACCTCGGCTGCCTCGGGGGCGAACCTTCAGACCTTCACTGGTGCCCGTAAGTCCCTATACAATGCTTTCGTGCCATGCAGCGACTGACTGTACTTGCGAAACGCAGTCGGTGGCGTCGCGGCTCCCGCGGTAACCGCTGGTGGCCGTGGCTTTGAGGTCGCGGGCGAGACCGGGGAATCCTTCCTTAACGTCGCCGCCGCGCTCGGCCGCTCGTGCGACGTCCAGCACAACCAGTGCGCGGACGCTGCCAACTCGGGCGGGCAGTCCTTCACCGTTGGCGACTGTGACACGCAGGACACGCAGTGCAAGGCCGCGGCGAACTAAGGGCCTGGTGGCGTGTGATGCGGATCTGAACAAAACGTAAATTATCGCCGCCTGCTGGATCGTGTCGGGCGGCGTGTGGGATCGTTGAGGTGTTTTCGTTGGTTATATCCCTATTTTGTTTTTTGTAGTCAACATACCCGGCTCCGCGAATCGAAGCTTGTTCCTGCCTTATGTTGTCCGTCGCGCTCCGTGAGAATTGAGAAGCGCATCGCATAGGTTCCTTGCAACCGCTCGCATACGTTCTCGTCTCTAGCGCAACTACAGCTGTGATTGTCAAGTACCGGAACATGGTCACTAATAGTTCACAGTCTGAATGTTACGCGTAATACACCCTAGTCGCCCCGATTACCGGGACTTACAAAATGACATCCAAACAACAAAACACAAGACGCAGGGCAGGGAATGTCCCTTCGCCCCTTCTATCCCCCCCTTAACACCACCAAGCAACCACATCACAGTATCCAAAGCCGACCAGAAGACTACGTCAAAAAATCACAAAATCCTTCCACATTCTCACAACAGTCAATCGAGCGGCCTTGTCTGCTCGCTGCTCGCATGCTTTCAAATCTCATAGCCCTCCTCGTCCCGCGGCACCGTCCCCTCCGTGAGGTCGATCTCTTGATCGCGGAACGGGTATTCCGAGTCGCCGTCCCCGCCGATCATCGGTGTGCTCTGCGAATCGGAGCGGCGGTGCAGTGGGAGCAGCTCCTCGCGCGCGACGCGCGGCGAGTACGGGCGCTCGCAGTACTCGGTCGCTAATGAGGGGTAGTACTGGCGGTAGGAGAAGTAGGCAGCTGTGACGCCGAGGATAGAACCTGTGAGGACGTCGGTTGCGTGGTCTGTTGTGCAGCGTGAGGACACCTTAGGGTGGGGGGAAGGGGCATAAGGAAGGGCACGTACGACGGTAGTCCATAGTGCGCGAGATGGCGACGAGCGCCGCTGCTGAGAAAGGAGTAAGGGCGGCCCATGCTTTGGGCTATGCGAGACGGAGAAAAAGTTAGTATTTGCCAGGAGGGCCTGGAATGGAATATACTGACCGCACAACCTCTGTGGTCGAAGAGGTGAAGTTTCCCGGACAGGTAGAACGACAAGAATCCAAGGCCGGCAAACGACACTGCACGTCCCGATTCCGTTTAATCAAGTATTACGAGGAGCACAGAATTACATACGGCTGGAATGTCCGCTGGGGAAGCTTCGCCAGCCGTCAGTCATCATGAAACTGTCCGTTTGGGTGCAGATTGCCGCCGTTGATAGCCCGTACGTCGGGTCGGCGGCCCCGGCTCTGGGGATGCATCGCGCAATGAGGTCTGAAGGGCAGTGAACATCAGTTATGCCTCAAATCGCCGCATGTGCTCGATCGGAATTACCAGGTCGAGGGCGCCCTACGGTAATTTTGGTGAACTGGGTGACCGCGCCGGCCAGCGCTACACTCAACAGCACTGGAGCGCTTGCTGTTAGTTGGTCAGATGAGATCTTAACTTTACCCGCTCACATCCGAGGGTGCTGTTGTGGAGGTCCCACCAAGAGCGCACGGTGAGATAATTGATTACGCATTGCAGGACGAAAGGCGCCGCTCCACAAATGAAGTAGAGTGCGATGGGCTACCACACGGGTCAGTTACAGGGGGATTTCGTTCGTGGAAGACACACACCGGAACGCGTTCATGGACAGCGTAGCTAGGGAGTTTTAACGCATGAAAAGGGTTTCGAGTAAAACTTTGGCGTGATAATCTCACGGATGGTATAGGCTAAGGTCTGATCTCAGTACTATGAAATCACAGCGAGAAAACACAACACCAACGTTTTGTCCTCGAGTGAGAAGTCGCGTTTGAAGCCGGGTACATCATTCAGTGCGATGAAGAAAACGCTGAGTGTGGGGGTCAGATTCAGAGCCGCGGCAAGCGCCCCAGCTTCGATGTCATACCCCAAGAATATGGTAACGAGCCTTGATCGCGAATGTGCTCAGAACCGGACTGAGTTTTGGAAATAATATTCGAAATCTCACCAGTCGGGAGCATAAGACCGGATGAGCTGGCGCCGTCTGGCGTTGAGTGTGCTGGTGGATATCATGGTTGGTACGGGCCACCCAGATGGGAGAGGGCCTTTTATTCAGTAGTGGGCGGCAGAAATCGAAGGGACGTATAGAGTCGGGTGGACGTCCGTGACATCAGCATCCTCGTATCCTATCCAGAATCCCACGGTGGTGGGCACTGTCTACCAGTGTGTTGTGATTGAATGAAATCAAGGCATGCGTAGCATCATATACGAACTTGAACAGTTGCCTATTCCAACTACACACTCGCACTGCGGTGATGCGCACGCAGTCGCCTGCAGGCACATCCAGCCCATCTCCCAGCCAAGACCATCCAAGACTCCATGGGCCACGCACGGCACGTGATTCGCACGCTCGACAGACGCGTCGGAGGCGCGTACGGCGCGTGCGACCCATTCTCTCTGTAGTGCTCCTCTCACAAGCTCACTCTAGATCTGTATTGACTGTGCACTATGGACGGTCGACATAAAATACATGGCGAACTCGAGTGGAAGCCAGGTACGCACCGAAAATAGCCCTCCGCCGCTTTGCTGAAATGACCCCTCGAGTTGGTAGAATATGATACTATGTTGGAGGAGATAGCATCCACAGATAGCATCGAGTGAGAAGTGCATGCACGAAATACTGATATCATTAATGAACCCTGGTGCAGCATATCCAAATGGCCGCTTGTGCGCGATATCATCAAGCACAAATTAAATGAGGTGTGTCTCTGGCGTGCCTCGAACAGTATTCCCAGAATACTGGAATGGTGGATATATTCGCAGAATATTGTTATGTTTTTGTCTGGGGATGTGAAAAAGGAGTATTCCAGATCGACAGTGCAAGCTGCACCATGTCCCGGCGGACTTAAACTCCCGCCATTCCCGCCTCGTCAGCGGAACGACACCAATCCGTACGAAGCCCCCAAGAACACTCTCACAGGGAAGGAGGCGGCAGATTTTCAACGAGAGATCAACACGCAGATTGATGGCTTCGACAAGTGCGTACTGTTTTGTCCGAAAACATGACTCTTCTCATGTCGTACTTGGTGGAAACAGAAGTCCACCGTTCACAATCCAACGCGTCTGCGAGCTCGTCTTACGGCCCACAGAGCATTACAAATATCTTGGAAAATATCTCCGAGCAGTCGAAAAGTCCCTCCTTGTGACATCGACCTGGGATGCCTTTCCTCCCACGACCGACAGCGCGACCAATCAAACAGGTGTTTCTCGTGTCCCTCTCGGTGCACCTACACTCTCGACACCTACAACACCGATCTTCTCCCCCATCCCCTTCCTGCATGAAGATGCTCGGCGGTCAAGCTCTCGCAGCCCACCCCCCAGTCCCCTCGTTTTACCCACAGTGGCTATAGGTGGGACAGCAACAGCCACGCCGCTCGCTGGGGCGGAAGGAGCAGAACAGAAGGCGCTTGGCCTCGTAGATGAGCTTGATGATCCTAGTCCTGGGCATCTTAGCGAACACCCACAGCCGTTATCCGCGACTACGACGGTTCCAGATCCAAAACCATTATTCAGTCTGCATAGTCGCTTCGTCAAAGTGAAGACCGAGCCTGAGGAGGGGCCACAAAACAAACCGGAGAGTGGGAGTGGAAGCGAAGTATCTGCAGCACAGGAGGAGGCGAAGAGCTAGGCTGCTGGTATTGTGTGTGTATATGATCTTGACTGCCATGTCCATGTGCGATCTTACCCGCCACGATGTCTGAGACTCAGATTGGGAACGTCCAGATCGATACCGACACCGATTATGTAAAATCTCGTTTGATTTTCTCGAGCATCGCGTTCATCCGCAAACGCATATCAGGTTGTCCTCGGCCACGACCTCCGTGCGAGGCTCCCCTGTCATTGCTCCGGCCTCGTCCACGATCTTGTCCTCGGCCAACTGAATTACCCCGTCCACGATCTTGACCCCGGTCAGCTGAGTTGCCCCTTCCCCTTGGCTGTGAGCTGCGGCGGCGATGTAAAGGATCCGACTTGTGGGTGTGCAAGGTCGATCGAGAGTACGCCTGCTTCTGCATTTCCCGCAGCGTCGGCTTCACTTCTGCTGTGTCCTCACGAGACGCTTCCTTCCGTTTTCTTGCTGGAGGCGGAGATGAAGCGTCGTCTGACTCGTCCTCCGCGCCCTCGCTTCCACTTCCGCTCTCCTCTTCCTCGCTTGACTCGTCTGCATTTTCCGAGATAGACACGCCATCTTCGCTATCCTTCTCGAGCGCATCTGCGCGGCTTTCATTGTGACTGGGACGCGTCGTCTCTCTGTCCATGTCCGTGTCTGCGTCCGCCACCAGCTGCGTCAATTGTGTGCGAGCCGTAACAAGCCCTTCCTTGCGTTTTTGTGCCTTCCACTGGCTCTTGATTTTCTGTACCTCGACCCAGGAGCGTTTGAGCTTCTTCGCTATGAAGATAGTTATCATAAGCATCACGGCCGGCACAACAAACCTCGAGCAAACACCGCACGCACCACGATCGACGGGCAGGTGCTGGAAGGTCGGCGGTTTCCTTTTCTTCGTGCCGTCCGACGAATTTGCCATTGGATCCGGGGTCGTGAATAGTGCGATAGGAGGGCTGAATGCGGCGAATGCGGTGAGCGATGAGCAGCGAGAATCGAATGAGCGAAGGGCCTGGATAAAGTAAGGCCTGTGAGCCGACCGTGGAAGACCTGCGATGGGATTACATAACTGTGGCTATAAGACGGAGCCTCCGATCGTTCGTCCGCGGCACACCAGCGTCGCCCGCCTCTAGTCTTTCCCCGTCTCTCTCTCTTACTGCCAGCACCCCCACTCAGCCGCCCTCCCCACTCCGTTTTTAGTCTAATCTCACCGACCGTCGCATGAGCGTGCAGAACCTCAACACCTTCGGTGAGGGCCTGCGCACCGCACAGCTTATCGATCGCTGCGGCGCTGACCCACGCGACCTTTTGCAGACCCCTTCGCAGACGAGGGAGACCCGCTTGGCGCGAGCGCAGACGTTGGCACGCAGCAGAACTACATCCACATCCGCATTCAGCAGCGGAACGGACGCAAGACCCTCACGACGTTGCAGGGCCTGCCCAAGGGTGAGTCGCTCCCGCCCTCTCGCCCACCGCACACCAGATGTTGATCTTTTTCTTCGCTCGCGTGTTGTACAGAGTACGATGCTAAGAAGCTCCTGAAGGCATTCAAGAAGGTTCGTGGTGGCCCATACTGTATGCGATGTTTGTGTGGCGGCTGACACCACCCCCTTGTCAGGAATTCGCTTGCAACGGCACCCTCGTTGAGGATGAGGAGGCCGGTCAAGTCATCCAGCTCCAGGGTGATCAACGTATCAAGATATCCAACTTCCTCGTCGAAGAAGGCGTGGCGAAGAATTCTATCAAGATTCACGGGTTCTAGCCAGACTTTTGCTGGGGCCGAGCATTAACGCACGCGCATAATGCATTCCGTTCTCTCTCTCTGCGCCGTTCCCTTCTTTTGCCCATCTTCTCTGCCTGACGTTCATGTAATGACCGCATACACCGTTTCATGGCTTTCCCCTTCCCATTTACAGTCTGTACTAGTACTACTAAATGCCGAATGCGCATCGGACTTCCATGGCGTTTATGGCTCACAGCTTCAGACGTCATTCTAAGAAGAGACGGAGGATCGTCCATTAAATATAGTACGTATACATTCGCAGGTAGAACCAATGGCAAGCAGTGGGACACAAATACATACGGAAGCAGATGACCTACATGCGGGACTCGTACCAGAGCATCGTGGACGGGAAGGCGATCCACGATCTGATTGTCTCAAGAGCGTTCGTGCGGTTCTGCTCATCGGATGGTAGTAGGTCATAGCCAGCAAGAGCGATGCATGACTTAACTGCAGCACGTCTCATTCGCCGTTGGCAGCATGCGCGATCAGCAGTACCGAAAGCACACCGCTGCAAAGACAACAAATTACTTGATCTTGTCAAGAGGTCTAGTAGATGATGATGGTTAGGCCGAGTAACAAGATGCCATAGGGAGACTTGCCTGTTGAAACCTCCACGTCTGTGGATATGAAGAGATTGCATGAGCACACTACCGAGGTTTCCAAAAGGAAAAGGCGTACCGGTTCATGTACTGACGCCATGTACGTATTTTCTTGACGTCTACACTGCCTTCCTGGTTACCCTCGACACGCTTCCCCTGGAAGAACGAACGAGCATCAGCACAGCAGTGGCGTCAGGAAAGAGGTTCAATGACCTTAGTAGTACCGAAGCCCGTCAGGCCCATCATGGCCATCATGGCCGCATCATCTTCGTTGGTAGCGTCCATTGCCTCGCCCTCTTCGCCCTCCTCGGCGGGTACCTCCGATTCCTGGCGAGGGCGAGCACTTGGAGGCTCCTCGGAGCCCACCGGTGCTACAAATGCGCTGTAAATACGTGTGCAGAATAGAGAGAGCTCAAAAAAGACGTACCAGAACGCGAACTGCCTGGTGTATTTTCCGAGTGAGTGGCGGACCGTTTATCGTCTGGGCGTCCATCCCGCTCATGTGCAGTGCCACTCGGCTTTGCATCCTTGTCGCGGACACTCTCCCCGTCCTTCTCCTTCTCCCTGTCTCGCGGCGGGGGAGGCGGTTCCCGCCGTCCATCACGCTCGCGGCCGTGGTCACGTCTATCCCGGTCGTCTCTCCTCCGGTCGTCGCGCCTGTCCCGACCCTGTCTGTCGTCGTCTCGTCGCGCATAGTCTCGGCGGTCTGCTGTAGATGCTCGTCACTCCGCGAGTTCATGTAAGTTCATACAGTACGTACCTGGTGCTCGCCCATGTCCTCGCGGGGGTGGGCTCCGCGAGCGACTCTGTTTCGGCGCATCGCGGTCTCTGTACCGCTCCCTGTCTCTGTCCCGGTATCGCTCGCGCTCGTCCCGCTCCCAGCTGCGGTCGCGTCGTCGGTGGTCGTGGCGAGACGACATGTTTGTTAGTAGGTGTAGAGCGAGTGTTCGTCGCAAGTGATCGGCGTGGTGTGTGCCCTTGTCCCGCCACCACGGGCGCCTCACTAACTCCCGTGTCGCTTCTGCATTTGGAACACTGCATGCGGTATTCAATTTTCTAGTACAAGAAATCAAATAAAAATCGAAAGAAAAGTTAATTTATCTAATCAGTATTCTGGCACCTAATATGGAAGTGAAATCGAAGAAAAATAGATTATGTAATCCATTTTCCATTGTCTCTTTCAATTTTCCTTCGATTTTTCTCCAATTTCCATTCAATTTCTACATCAGTAAGATTCAATAGGTGCTATTTGCTTTTAATTCAATTATGATTTGATATTTTGTGCAGGAAAATTGATTCCTGCATGCAGTGGAAAGCGTGATTGTAGTTCAATGGCCTCGGGCAAACGTAAATACCAAGTTAATACTGTTGTGCCTTCAACAAAAAGAGTCTTTGGTTCTAAGTAACTTAAGTTTACTCCTTTGTCATATAATACACATCGGAATTTGTCACAATACTATTTCTAAGCCGCGTTCTTGACCACATCGTAGCTTTAACAGTCTGGACTCTGATGGAGGATATGCAAATGACTACGCTTCAGAACACAGGAAACCGTCTACCGAAACAGCGATTCCGCTACGTACGATGACTACATGTTTTACCATTCAACATGATCAAAATTGACCTCATCCTCGTGATAACAACGTAAGTTATGGCGCTAGGGTACAGCTAACGCCGTAAACGCAGTGGCGCGACTGGGTGAGGTGACAAGACCGGAGAGCAGGAGCTGCAGCGACACAGAGGTCAGAGGGATGCTCCAGGTGTAAGACTCTGTATTCATACCTGCAGCGACACAGAGGTCACTGCACGGCTCGTAAGTATAAGTACATGTGAACAGAAGTAATGGGACATACGAGGGATGCTCCAGGTGTAAGACTCTGGAGCATTCCTCATTCGACAGGTAGCCTTATGTACCGTAGAGTGGTCTTGTATCGTAATCGAGATTCAAGACACATGATAAGGTAACAAGAACACAAGAAAACAATAGAATAAGAAATACGTACGGAAGTCGACCATGCGTGTATTGTAAACGCGCCGTACAAGAAATCACATCTCAGATTGCGACACTCCCCCTCAAACCTTCGAGAGTCCCATG